TCGTATCACCCCGCAATCTCATCAGACATCTCATTAAATTTGTTCTTCATGAGCGCCGCCCGAATGTGCGCCGATATTCGTTCATTAAGCTATCAATAACCGTACCTGCAAGTCGAAGCGATCTGGATTTGTTACGCTGCATTTGCGAACACATATAAACACACACGCCCACCAACGCGCGAAGCGCAGGGTGCAATTCGGATATCTCTCGCATCGCCGGCGTTTAAGTAATTTAGCGTCGCACGCACAATTGACCGCCACTATCGAATCGCTACGGGTGCGTATGATTTATTCGCCGATGTCTTCGGGCGGTCGAATAATTATTTTCGAACGGCACAACGTTGCCGAATTAAACGTTGTGGAATTCGCGTTTCTCGTACAGAGGGAAAGCACCAAAACCGACGTAACCATCTCGTTTCTGGATTCTAAAGCCCCGTTGAAGGCGTAAAATTAGAATTTCTGTGCATAGATGCAAACCAGAAATTTTTCTCTACTAACGTATATGATAATCTTATGAAAATCACTACATATTTCTTTGCAAGTAACTATTTGTCAAGATATTTGAGGATCGTTGCTTCTAGAAACTAGACCTCAAAATTGACATGTATATGATATCTATAAGAAATTAAAAAGTGTAAAATGAAAACACTGAAATTCCATTATTTTGTACGTTTATTAGATATCCTTAAATGTTATTGTATTTAATCTTATATATTTTAAAAAAATTTGTTTAATTTTATTATATATATTGCGCTTTTTTTTATTATGCGGAAAGAAATCCATTGACTTCTTTCTTCGATCATCTTAAACAAACAAACATGAAAAACAGGAAAATCAGCCACCGGCAGCTTCAATTGTTATCCGTGAAATGATATTTCACATGAAAGTTCAGATATGTCTGTTGAAAAGCCAATAAACTCAGATATCTCGGTTCACAGAACAATTGAACCGTAATTTTTATTACGTGGTTCAATGAGAAATCAATGAGAAAGAATAGAAATTGGCACAAGGTCCAAAGTGATTTAAAAAGTTCAAAACTCACATTACAGCGTAATATCGTTCATTAAATTACTTATTGATGATATGTTACTTTCATTTCCGCAAGAAGAGAGCTCAATAAAATTTCAGTATAACCACAAATCAAATGACACTAATGACATAATCGAACGCGCTTGCGAACAGAAATTGTCAACTTCAGTTCCGATAATGATGCTTTTTTTGAAACGCCACAGAACAATTCCCGTCTCATTTCCTCGACGCGATCGAGATGTCATTCGCCGAAACCCGGCGAAATCCGTGGAAAATAATCGCCGTGTGCGCCATAAACACGTAACGCGCGCGCAATAAATATGCCCGATTCGATAAATTACCGTGAAAGAGCGAGCGCGCGCGCGTGGGCGAGCGATAAAAGGGTCTCGTGTGTGCGCGCTCGCGAGCACGCGCTTCTGAAAATAGCTCGTCATTGAAGCTTCGACGCCCGGCGGAGGGTGCTCGAGTCGAGAGGTGTACAACCCTTCGACGAGGTCATCCGCACGAGCTATACAGCGGGTGAAGAAAGCGTAACTTTTTCACCGTGCGGCTGGCTTTTAACGTTCCGCGGTAATTAAACGCCACGCGCACGTTATACTTATCGGCACGTGTATACTTGTCGGTTGTCTCAATCGAGATGAGGAAGAGCGAGATGATGAAAGTAGGAACGAAACGTTAACTCCTCAACAAAAAAACATGACTCAAATCGAAAGAAAACGATTCAACGTGCGTACATTGCATCTAGAGATGCGTGAACTACTCGAATTCGGATCGAATCTCATCTAATTCAATTTGAAGCCGAATGATTCGAATCCGAGTAATTCGGAAAGTTCGAATCGAGAAGATTCGAATACGCGCACATTGACGAAACACTGTAACGTTAAAGACACGTCTGGCCTTACGGGAATTGACTGGAAAAATTCGCTGCACGTTAAGATCTTCTTCAAACATATTAAAGGCGGTGACTCAAAACATTGACAAGATAGATAAGACAGATTGACAAGATAGATAGATAAGAGATGCTATTAAAATTTGTATATTTAAATAAATTTTCATGATACCAAATGAATCTGTGAATAATTGGAAAGCGCTGCTACTGGTAATAATTTTTAATCACTTGAATTAAATATCACATTTAGCTTATATTGCAATATTAAATTTATAATTTATAATTATTCTGATGCGAGTCTCGTAAATATGTGTATATACCAGGTGTAGAAGTTTGAAACCGGAATTTTTTTGTAAAAATTACACGTCTGTCGTTTGAAAATGATAAAAAATATTTTATTCAAAATAATGTCCATTGCTATTTATACATTTTTCCTACCTCTCCGGCAGTTTATGAATGCCACGCCAAAAAAACATTTCTTCTTTTGAAGCGAACCAGCTATCGAGCCATTTTCGTACATTTTCATACGAATTGAAGCGTTGTTCAGCGAGAGCGTGTCCCATTGATGCGAATAGATGATAATCGGACGGAGCCAAGCCTGGAGAATAAGCCGCATGCGTTAGTATTTCCCAATTGAACGCCTCGATCGTTTCCCTGACCCGTTTTGATGTGTGTGATGGGGCGTTATCATGGAGCAAAATGACTTTGTGTTGCCTTTTTCCATATTCCGGTCGTTTTTCACGCGATTTAAATCGATCGTTTGCTGTTGGTGGAGATCAGTGTTAACGGTTTCACCAGGTTTTAACATCTCATAATATTGGGTTGCCCGAAAAGTAATTTCCAATGGCTCCAATAGATGGTNAGTCTGGAAAATAATCCGCATGCGTTAATATTTCCCAACTGAACGCCTCGATCGTTTCCTTGACCCGTTTTACTGTGTGTGATGGGGCATTATCATGGAGCAAAATGACTTTGTGTTGCCTTTTTCCATATTCCGGTCGTTTTTCACGCTATTTAAATCAATCATTTGCTGTTGGTGGAGATCAGTGTTAACGGTTTCACCAGGTTTTAACAGCTCATAATATTGGGTTGCCCGAAAAGCAATTTCCAATGGCTCCAATAGATGGCTTTAAGCGTCTGTTTGAATGTCTTTTGTCAATGTTATGATTTTTTTCTTTTGACGTTTGTAAGCTGTCACTCTTAGTTGACTTTAGAAACAAATTACACGTGTTTTTTTGTTAAAAATTGTTAGTTTGGCGTCAGTTTTAGTATGGAGTCCAATAACGAGCATTTTTGTCCTATTTTGCTTTTTTATTTCCGCAAGAAAAAAACGCAGCGCAGGTTGCTAAAAAGTTACGTGACGTATATGGCGAGGTAGCCTTAAAAGAGAGACAGTGCCGCAATTGGTTTTGATAAGTTCCTTTCTGGAGATTTTTTACTCAAAGATGAGCAACGTTCAGGTCGGCCATTGCAAGCTGATGATGACAAAATCAAAGCCATAATCGAGTTGGACCGTTATATATCTGAGCGGGAGATTGGAGAGAAGTTGAAAATACCAAAATTAACAATCCACGATCATATAAAACGTGTTGGATTCGTTAAAAAGCTTGATATTTGGGTACCATATGAATTGAAAGAAATTCATTTAACAAAGCGTATCAATGCTTGCGATTCGTATCTCAAACGCAATGAATTCGATCCTTTTTTGAAGCGAATAATTACTAGTGATGAAAAATGTATTGTTTACGATAATATTAAGGTAAAACGTTCATAGTCCAAACGTGATGAGCCACCACAAACTACCTCGAAAGCTGATATTCACCAAAAGAAGATTTTGCTATCAATTTGGTGGGATTGGAAGGGTGTGATATTTTTTGAGCTCCTTCCAAGGAACCGAACTATCAATACGGATGTCTACTGTCAGCAACTGGACAAACTGAATGCAGCGATTAAAGAAAAACGGCCAGAATTGGTCAATCGTATGGGCGTCATCTTCCACCAGGACAACTCTAGGTCACACACATCTTTGNCATTTTCCCACTTTCTGAATCTTTCCCATGGCTTTCAAACGAATTGAGACAGCTTTCTGCGTCACATTCAATTCATCCGCGAGTTCTTGTTGAGTTTGAGTATCATCTTCATCCAATAAGGCTTGCAATTCGTTGTCTGCCATTTTCGGTGGTTTCCCACGCTCTTCGTTTCTCACGTCAAAATCACCACTTTTGAATTTTTTGACCCATTCGAAACACTGTGTTTCACCAAGAGCATGTTCACCGTAAGCTTCGACAAGCATTCGATGCGCAGCAGTTTTCTTCAAATGATAACAAAAAACCAATGCTGTCCGCAAATCGTAGTTCGTAGGCACAAAACTCGACATGTTTAAGGTTATAGAAAAATATACCGGTGTATGGAACTTGGGTTGTTGTGTGTTGAAAATCTTCGTCAGCTGTTAGAGGGAGATGATGGCGCTGCAGAAGCGGTCTTACGGTCCCTAAACTGATGGCTAGCATCATCTATAGGGAAATTCCAGTTTCATACTTCTACACCTGGTACATATATACACCTACACCTGGTATATATATACATATATATACGCGCATGATGTGTAATATATTATCATGAAACTACATTTCTTCAAAATCATTGAGTTTCTGCATTAAATGTAAACGGTCAATAACATCAACGTTCTTCAAAATAGTTTAATAATTGATTTATAAACTTTTATCTGACAGTCTCAATTACTGCTACACTGAATAAAATATATTTCATCAGTATCAAATATTATTCGAAATATTTAAATATACATATCTTACTTTAAAATGAGTTAACGTCACCCTAAAAAAATGTTTGGTTGAATTTACATGACGAGATGAACAGACCAAATGCGTTTTGCTTGAGAGAAACCGGTATTTAAAACAAATTCCATTCTTATAACCGAAAATTCGGTTCCCTTCGACCAAAACGCGTTCGGTTTACTTGTCGTCAAATAAACTCAACCGAGCTTTTCTTTCCGCGTGGTTACTCTGTTATAAGAATTACGTCGCTTCCGGACATTAACGCAAGGTCACTCATTATTTCGCAGAACACACCTGCAAGGACTTCCGGTGCACTCAGAATGAATTTTGCATCGAGACGGATCTGCTGTGTGACGGCGTGAACCATTGCGGCGACGGATCCGACGAGGCCACTTCCACCCTCTGTGCCAGTAAGTCCTAATTGACAGACGAATTCATCGCGAAGTTACTATTTGCACACAGCAGAAACGGAACGTGAAAATATACTAGCGTCCGAGTAATTCGCTACATAAACGTAAACGTCGTTCGTGTGCGTCTCGTCGCCGGCTCGTCCCTTCGAGCGGCGGTAATTAGCGGTGCAGATAATGATAATGCGCTAGTTAACACGAGATCAATATGTTCGCCATCAAGCGCTATCATATATCAAGGAACTTTGTGTACACCGTGTGTATCTTTCGAGACACGCTACATTTAATGAGCAAAGCGATTTAGATCGCGGAGATACGATCTCGCATGATTTACTGCTGTTAGTCATGCCGTTAGTTTCGAGCATCGGAACAGATAATGAGCGCGCGCTTCCGCGAATTTCAAAAATACATACGATATTCTCGGCGCGGGCGCGCGCTACCGAAAGTTATTTGTTTATTTAAAGCCGCTATTAAGCCGCTTCGGCGGGCGGAGCGATTACGAAACCCGGTGGATTCGCGCGACTCTCGTTGCGGGTTAGGCGAAATATTTGCAAACGCGTGTGTATATATATGTGTGTATATGTGTGAGGGGGGAAGAGGGGAGGCGATGGCAATTCCGCCCTTGTACAGGGAAGTTGCTCTTTCATCTAATTTATGAAAATCTAGATTTAATTTCTCCGGGAAATAAACAGACCGCCTGATTTTCCATTTTCCAGTTGGACATGGCGGTGGATGGGGCGGAGAAGGAGGGAAGGGGCGGAGGATAATAGCAGTTACGCGCACGGCCACGGTGATTTACACACCGTTGCAAACGCAAGCGTGACGCGCGGCAAAAGCGGTTGTTTTCCTCCCCTGCGATTTTTACGCGGGCGTGGCAAATTGTTGCAATTTCAGGGACGACAGAGAAACGATTGCAAATGGGCGCGAACGGAATTTACATAACATTTATGTTAATGGTCGAAAGTACACGGGCGCACGTCGACATACCTGAAGGGGTTAATTGCCGCGTATTCATTACATATCCATGGGCAGCTCGCGATAGTAGCGACAAGTAAATTACGAACTGGCCGTATAATGTACACGCGCGCGCTCCGCTCGCGCCTGGCCGCGTGGCCGCGCAGAAATTTAGCATATTCCGCTGATATTTTGTTAATTCGCCGAGATCCCGTTACAATTTTCGACTTCCATTAACGAGCGGTTAATTAGCGTTCGCGTTTCGCGATGACGCGGCGCGCATGCACGTATATATATGTATGCGTAGGTGCGTACGTGCATGCGAAACCGGCGCGGCGGATATTCCGATGGCAGAGGGATAAGAATTATTTTCAAGTGCCCCGGCTGTTTTCACGATGCAACCTTTCGCCGCAATTGCGCTAATGACACGCACTCGCGAGATTTATCGGCCGGAAGGGCGGGACACGCGTGTGTGTGCGGTGTGTCGGTCGTTGTTTCGCACTGGGCGGTCGCACGCAAGCAAACGTCCGCGATCGATTTGTCGAAAAAGAGAGAGACAGAAAAGAAACAGAGGCAAAATAACAAACAAACGAGGAAAAACCGAAATTAACGTCACCCGTAAAAAGTTCTTTATTACTCGCTTTACTTACGACCGTGCCGTGTTTTGTAACGGTGAAACGCGAAGCACACGTCGCTAATATCGATTTCCCGATTCGCCGAAAGTGCACGCGTGTCAGGTGTGTGTGTGTGTATGCGCGCGCGTGTGCGTGTCGGGTCTTCGATGAAACGCGTTGTAATCGCAAGGTGGGGCTCGACGCCTTTTGCCACGCTTGAGCTTCAGCGAATTCACCGTTCGTTTTTTTTCCCCCGCCGGTTTGCACGACGCGTGCACACGTATATTTTCCACCTTCGGAGGAACGAGGTCGCCTATCCGTGTAAAATTTTTTAATGAAAATCGGAGCCGCACTGCGATGCGACTCCCGTTTCGCGGAATTAATCGAAACAATGAAATATGATTATATTCCATCGCGACATTTCCGCAATGAAGTTATCGTGCTTGCGCAAATGATATTTTTCCTCCTCTTTCTTCTTTTCTTTCTCTCTTTTTTTTTTTTTTTAATCACGAGCAGTCCCTCCGAATTAATTAGTCGATTCGCTGGCCGAGCCCGTGCGTTATCGGCTTGTGTGAGTCGATTTATAAGCTCGTTTAATCTTATCTGTTCGCCTTGCAAATTTGTAATTTCGCGTTACGAAGAATTATAGCCGCGTCTTTGTTCTTCTTTTCCTTTTTACATATACAGGGAAAGAAAGGTAAAATGACAAAGTGGGTAAGATGACGATGTTTGCTAGTTTTCTTAAGCTGTAATAACAACAAATAACGAGTCGGTGCCCAATTTGTGAGAGATTTTTAATAATAATAAATAATCTATTGTAGCTCGACTTCAATCTGTCATCAACAGATAATAATGACAAATAAAAACAGTAGATAATATAATAAGAAATGCATTTTGGGTTCACTTATATGTAATTTTATAATATTTCTTCATAAAGAATTACACAATTATAATAAATATTTTCACTTTTCCTGTAAAACTACTGTGTAAATCTAAAAATGTACAATTATAAATAATTGCTTTTATTTTTGCTCTTGCCTAGATTTTATTTTCTTTGAGTTACATCGTCATAAATCATGTTTTTTGTCCATAAATAATATTTTTATTTGTATTTTATTTTATTGTACTGTACAGAGAGTATAATAACAAAATAATATGAAAAGCTTATGAAAATTATATTTCCTATATAAAAATTTATATTCAACTTTGGTCATCTTACCCACTCGTGGAACCAAAATGACGAAATTGACACGTTCTCAAAGATTTTTAATTAAATAAAAATCTAATTTATTCATAAATTTCGCAACTTATGCAGATAAGAGAGAAGACTTTAACTATTCAGGAAAAATTGCTCTTTGCTTTTAAGTCACTACAAAAATGAAGAAAAATCGACAAACCTTAACGTCGTCGTCTTATTCCCCTTTGTCTTGAATTATTTTCATTACATCTCGATTAAGACGAAGCGCGTCCCGCGCGCTGTGTAATTCCGCCCAAGCCGTCCCACCGGGCGAGCTCTAGTGTAGGAGATTCAACTTCTCTCGGTCTGATTAACGGTTTTTCTTTGTAATTTCAGACTCCGAGGCATCAACGATCCTGGGCATGCAGACTACTTGGTTCGCCGTCGCCCTTGTTTTTCTGATACTCAGCGTAGGCTGCCTAGTAACGGCGACGGTTCTCTGCTTTTTCAGGAAGCATGTTCTTACCCCGAGGCACCCCCATAACGCGCACAATGCTCAGTCTCATCCCCCAGTCAGCTTCCCATGTGAGTCACAAAAAACCCCCCTTACATGTACACGATCGATTCCGCGCGCGGTTGTTGTCGTCGTTGCCGTCCGCCCGGTGCAGCTTTGCTACCGTCGGCGAGCTCGTTCTCTTTTGTGGTTTACTTCGCGTACTGTTGCCTCAAAACACGGACGAAACTTTTTCCCCGCTCGCCACGGGCAAAGCGTTCTCTCTCTCTCTCTCTCTCTCTCTCTCTCTCTCTCTCTCTCTCTCGTTCTTCACAATGCCCGAACAAAAACCATGCCGCCGTCCACGGCGGTGCGGTTACACGGCGCAACGAAGATGAAAATATCATTCTCGAGAGTCGCGAATTGCCCGTGTTTTGAGGGAACTTTGTACATATAAATAATATGTATAAATTATAAGAGTAAATGTTGAGATCGAGTATTCTGAGACTTTTATATACCAAGAGCCTAAGTATCACGCTCACTGACATCTCGTTGTAGCATTTCGACGCTGAAAAAAAGAATTATTACGTTCGAATTAACATTCGCTAAGGAGTACTGAAGCAGTTTCTTTTATTTGGATTAAGTAAATATTATTTGAATGTAACACACTGAAAAAAAAGTGCTACATTCAAGTAATATTGATTGAATCCAAATAAACTACCTTAATACTCCTTAGCAAATATTTACTTGAACGTAGCATTTTTTTTCAGTGCATACAAACGATATTGGGAATAAAGCAAACAAAGTCCTGTACCGATTGCAATTAGTTAGGCATCTTTTACCGATGCCGATGCGTAAGAACTTAGCTCTCTTATCTGCTCATTCTTTGACTATTGTTGTCTACTTTTTATCGATTTAATGGCAGAACAGGAGATGACGCTTCAGAGGCTCATATTATTTCAATTTAAATCGGTTTAAGGTCTCCTACAGGAGAGCATACTTAGCTTGCTTTACATATAGTTTTACCTACAGGTATTCCATCTTACATCCGGGAACATTTGTTCTATCAGGTCGAGGTCTACGAACGATCATCCGTAATTAGACCTGATTATCTATCTGTGCCAAAACACCGCACAAGTATCTTCCATATTCAAGTATCTTCCGGCCATTTCTTTTCTTTTTTCTTTCTTTTTCTATTCTATCTTTTTCTATTCTATCTTTTTCTCTTTTTTCTCTTTTTCCTTTTTCTTGGGACGATTGTTTATAAGAATAGATATTCTCATATATAAGCAAGAATATATTATAACCTTCTTAGAAGACTTTTAATCTTGATTTGATTAAATTTGTATTGACGCAAATATTACTTGCACTCAATTCAAGGCTAAAAAAATCTAAAAATCTTATATTCTTTATTCTATATCTTTATTCTATATCTAATATTCTTGTCTACGTATGTGAGAATATCTATCACTGATTTAAGACCTTTTCTTCTACGTACATTTATGTTATATATTGTACCATTCTTATTGCTCTTATAGGATTTATCTTGGAGCATTTATCTCATAATAAAGCAGATTCTATCCTATTCCATTCTAAATACTTGTCTGAGGTACTCTTTGCGTGTCTAAGCGGATAGCTTATTCGAGAAACACTCCCCTCGAGGTGCTCAATTCAATAGGAAGATACCCTTGACAATCGGAGGAGCTTTCATGACAGAGCCGAACTCGATCGCGAAACGTCTCTCTCTCTCTCTCTCTCTTGCGCGGATGCTCGGGGAAAATATTTCGCGAGAAACTTCAGCTGGCACGCTTTTCGTGCCGCGAATGGAGTTTATTTAAGGGGACGTTCCGCGCGCACCGTGTCAATGGTCGCGGTAATTAATTAATTTTCGCCAGGAATACGTTAACGGCTCGTAATTTGGCTGATTTGTTATAAAGTTACGCGCTCCGGCGCGCGCGGGCGAATCGAGCCAATGATCAAAGGACGCATGCTCTCGCACGATTATGGTATAAAATATTCATTTATTTATGGTGCCATGCGCGCCCGCTGGACGCCGGTACGCCATTATGTCTCCTATCATTACGTAGAACAAAGGTCACACGAACGGATACACGTCGATATGTTGGAGAAATAATTTCCGAGAGGTTTCCGCGCACGCACGGACGCGCGAACGCGTGCGAACACCGTCGTGCTCGCGCGTCCCCGTCCAATAAACATTTTAAAGGGCTACTTACCAGCGCGAGCGCGCCAAATTGGAAATCGATATCATATTTCACGGGGAAATAAGTTACCGGCCGGAGGTCATTGATAACCGGCCGCGCCGCGAGTGCAGCGTTCTTCCTACTCCCCCTACCCCCTCCTTTTTTTTTATTTAGCACGTAATCCTGAGCGTACTCCTGACAATTTCATCTTTCGATCGCGAGCGCACGGACTATTTACTATCTCGACACGCGTTTCGTCCCGCGCCACGAGATTTTTCTCGTCTCTATCGCAGAAATCTTGCGCGATATTGCGCTTTTCCTCGCTCCCTCCCTCTTCGTCTTTGAACGCGAGTTTTGCAATAACTTGGAAATAAATAACGTCTTTTTTTATCAGATATATTAGTTCTGTAGAAGATTTGGTACTCTTTAATTTAAAGAAAAAAAATATTTCGTTATTTGCGTTCGTCCTTAGTTGTCACTGTTGAATTTTTCGTACCGATTAGTACGTTAGTACTAGTAGCGTTGCTGCGTACCCATGTCTATCACGTGTGCAGCACGTTGCACGTCGACACGCCGTATTACGGCACAACAGCGTATTATACGCAATAACGACGGATTGTTCCTGATTTCGGATTATTACGTTAGAGTTACATTTACGAAACGTTACATTACCGCGGCCGCGCAGGCGCGCCTCATCATTACTCCCTCCGCGCTGATCGGCGCGGTACTCGATTATGCTGATCTCATCCGAACACCCCGTATGCAGTATTTGCTTTTCATTCGATTGCATAGCGGTTTACCTCGCACTTCAGCACGTCATCTCGTTTCACAACAACGATTCTAATTAATTAATTTAACCCGGAGGTTTGACGGACGCATTTGGCGGGCACCCATCCCGTGTCGTTTCGCGCTATATTTGCGGCTGGCCATTAAATTTATTTATCGATGGGAAAACTCTATCGCGGTCTCACACACATGTGCATATAATACGCACGTAAACACCCACCATCGCTCTTTCCGCGCTAAAATTTTAGCTCCTGTTAAACCTTGTTTCTGCCTATGTTAAAGCAAGCAAGTAAATTAAATAGCAAGTAAATAACAATTCTAGATAAAATGATACCTTTATCGCTAAAAAATATTAATCCCTTCTTAAAATATTCGAATTACTAAGTATAGTACGCTCGTCTTGAATCAGTTAAGAGCGTCAGAGTAACATCCAAATTTCGACTCGATATTTGGATCGCACTCTGGGTACCGATTTTATGAACGATCTCTCCCGGATAAAAGGGTGTTTTCTTTTCAACCGGAGCTGGCTGACGTCGTCATATCTCTCTCGACATATCCAATAATGTCTAGGGTTTCCTTCGCGAGCGAGCGACACGCTCTCGCGGCAAAGGACGTCATCCCTTTCGCGCGGCCGGGTCTTTGAAAATGCGTAAAAGAAGAAAGATAAGGAGAAAAATCACATTTTCGGCCTAACGTAACGAGCACGAGCTCCAGCAGCGCCTCGTGAGACCGAATGCGGTGACCTTTCGCGCATACAAAGCCGGCCCAAATATCTGCGGCTGGCGCTGAATTAATCAGGAACCATCGGCGCGATTGAAACCAGTTCTCTTTCTCTCTTTCTCTCTCTCTCTCTCTCTCTTTCTGGCCGCTATAATTAAGCAGCGAGATGATCGATAGACCGCGTTCGCGCGCGGGCTGTGCGATATTCCCGTTTTACAACAACATTCGTTATTTATTTACGCGTAACTGCTACCGCGCGGTATCGACGACGGCCACGGCGGTGGTATTGCTGGTGATGGCGGCACGACGGCGCGACGAAATTAGAGGCGGAGGCACAGCGAGTGGATGAAAAAAGAGAGAGAGAGAGAGAGGATAGAGACGAGAGGAAAACCGAAACAAAACGAGCATCGGTGTTTTCATTAAGCGATCGATCGATCGATCGATCGGCCGGCAGGTCGACGCTCGATCTCTCCGTTGCGCTCGTTTTATAATATCGTTTGGCTTTTCGCGATTTCAATCGTTGGCGCGGGCATTTCCAGCGCCCCGCCGCGTATCGCGATGTTTCGCCGCAATTCCGCCGGCGTATCGGCCGGTCCCGCTAATCGATAGCAAATAGCACGTGCCTCGCGGCTTGTTTCGTCCCGGTTTGTTTATCGTCATTACTAATTGCAGGAGACCCGGAAAAAAGGGTGAGAACGAAAGGAATAGGCGGAGCGAGAGGTAGATAGAGAGGCAGACAGGTTAGATAGATAGATAGACAGGTGGATAGAGAGGATTAAAGAGCGTGAGTTCACGCTCTCTCACGTATTTAAATTAGTTTAATATACAAGAGCCGGGACTCTCTCATTATCTCTCTCTCTCTCTCTCTCTCTCTTTCTCTGGTTGAGTGCGACGCCGTGCACTGGAAATTCGATTATCCGAAACAAACGACGGACGAACGGGCGCGCGTCGGATAATTAATTCTCGGAGAAACGCGCGTTTTCGGCTGACTAATGGAACAACGTCTGTCTCCGCGAACGAGCGTGCGAGCGAGCGCTCGAGCCGCTTTGCGCGAGCTGGGGTGATACGTTATCAACGGATTATCGACGCGCGGTTGCCCGCCGACGGTGGCCGAATGCGTATTACACGAGTGCTGCCTCTTGATTCGCGCGACCGATGTGCGGCCGAAACTGCGGTATAAATGAAATCGACGATCCCGAAGGAAGGCGACGTCGCGCGCTTCGAAAATTTGCAACATTCGCGGCTACGCCGGGCGACTTTTTCACTCGCAGGTCGATGCGATCGAGGCTGTTTGCGTCACGGTTAAATGTAACGTCGGCTGACGTTAATTGCGCTTTAAGGAGGGTCGTCAAGTGAAATGAGTTTGATAAGAATTCGATGGGATT